TTGTGCTAGCACTTGTTTGCACATGAACAAATGTATTTTTTAGGAGTCTAACTTGCAAGCGCCAGACCACTGATTCGTCAAATCTGCTTTCTTGCAGTCTGTGTTCTTATGACTTTATTTTGTAGTAAGTAACGAATATGCTTTGGGGAAATGTATCGGAGTAAAAGTATACATTTTAATTAGGAAATGTAGTGAAGTAAAAGTGAAAGTTGACAGAAATATAAAAACTCAAGTAAAGTACAGATTCTCCCAAAAAATACTTAAGTACTTTACACCACTGCTGTTTCATCCCTATTTGTAGCCCTCAAACTAGAGTGAGCTTGGCGACTCCTACCAGGTTGAAAACCACTGTTCTACACCCATGGGCTCACAACTCTAAGGGCGATTTCTTTGCATGTACAGCCGTGATCACCAGACAGAGCATAACAGGTTTCATCACTCTTCTCATGGCACCAGTTGGTTCTAGCATAGTGAGCAGGTATGGAATTCTCATATTTACCTTCAGTGGGCTGCACACAGCCACAAGTCAAAGGCGGGCACCCACATCCTCACTTTGGTGCTTCTTTCAAAATTTGTAAACAAATCAATGCTTTTGCACATGAACAGGCCTGTACAGAATCTGCATGTGCAGCAGCTTTGCAGATTTCCACAGAATGAGATGCCCATCATTCCCAGAGTTTCCACATCCCCAAAACATTACAAAAGTAAAATATTTTGACTAATTACTTCATGTTGCCAAGTAGTACTCTCAGCAGGTTTTTCTTTCTTTCTTTCTTTCTTTCTTTTATATATTTCTTTTTTTAGATGCATTCTCATGGGCTAAGCAGTGTTCAAAAACCAGCACTCTTTGCAGGATTTCCCCTTTTTATTATATATATATTTTTATGTTTCAGTTCAGTTCCAAAACTGTAGTTTTTTTTTGTTTTACATTCAAGACACAGCCATGCACAATTTAGAATTCAAAAAGTCTATTGCTTCAAACACAATTTAAAATAGCTTGTCCAAAACAATAGCTCCCCCACCTCCCTCCCTCCCTCCCTCCCTCACACCTCACGCCTCACGCCTCACATCCAGCCTTCTTTTAAAGAGCGGGGGAGGGCTTAGCTGAGATGAGTCCAGCAGTTCTCAAAAGTCATAATTATAATCAATTAAAAAGAAAACATGTGTTTGTAAGCATGTACACTTTTGTTTCTTTCCCATATTAGACACCAATAGAGGGATTTTGTCACAGCACATGTACCAGGGTTCACACATTCAGAAGAAATGGGGGATTTACAAGTGACAAGAGGAATCCTGGAGTGAGTCATTGCGCTTTCCACATTTTTTACATTTTCATGTGCTCCTAGTCCACATCGGCTCCGAGCCCTGATTAAATATGAAGGGTCCACAGGCTATAAATAAATTTGCATTGTGTGTAAGAGTGTGTTCCTCCTTACATCTGCTTCAGTACACAGGAGTAGGCTGCAGGATAGGTCGAGCAGTGAATGATGGTCATGTTAGCCTGGTTAATGGTGCTAGTCTCTGTTACAGGCACAAGCCACTGCTATCTGTAGAATTTACATCACTGTGTCCATCATAGTTTTGATCTTGTATTTCTTGGAACTAGCGAGCACAATATTCACAAACACATATCAAATAGCCTGAATATTACTGTCATAAGGTTTTCATAAAAAAAAAAAAAAACATAACAATGTACATTAAATATCCTCAAATGTTTGTAATGCTAACTTATCAAAGGAGAGTAAATCAGTTATTTCATGCAGGAAACTGGCTCCTATGATAAAATGACACTCCCATTTATCTGTTTTGATACTCACTATATATTGTGACATCCATTACGGTGTGCATGGAAGCAGTAGCACTATTTAGATATTGCTATCCATGCCTTTAGATGTCTATGGTTGTCGCTAACTACTACATCTACTCTAGTACCTATCTGTCTACGGTGGAATAGTCTAGGTGTAGTATCCTGAATTTTCACAGTGATTTGAGAGACAGACTAAAAGCAGGCTGAGGTTATCATATCTACGCACATACATAGCACAACTCTCTCACAAACACTCATTTGTAAAGAAAGATATCAAGTCGACATAATCTATTAGACACCTACATCCTCTACAAGGGTATACACATAGGACTTCTACTCCTGTACTGTATAAATATATATTGTTAAACCAAGTAAGAATTAAGTTAACCTCAGCAAAAATCAAAACACTTTTAACTTGTGACTGCTGTTGAAAAAGGCATCAGAAATAGCACCCATTGATGTTTGTTCCAAACTGGAAAGTATTGAAACTAAAGAGCGCCAACAAGTGGGAGGGGGTTTGGATTTACAGACTGTTCTCTTAGGGACCATTCACACAATATGCAAACTACTGTTCGAAAGCAGCCAGACAGAGTGCAATGGAATGGAAAAGAACTGTTTGTAACACAATATGTTAGACAAAAACATTCTGAGCAAGTATGCAAACACTGATGTTAATGTTAACACATTGCGAATGCACGCTCCCACTGCATACATACCATTTATTTTGAATGTTAAATATATACCATGCACCGTTGTGTTACTGTGACTTTTAGAAACCTCAGTTCTCCAGGGGGTGATAGAGTTACCTTCAAATATCTGTGTCATTAAACATTATTATTCCAATTAGCTGGCTACGTGTAAGCGTTTATAAAATGTAACTCAGTGTCTACAGCTAATCCAGAATGCGGCTGCAAAATTAGTCTTTTAACGAGCCGAAAAGAATGCATGTCACAGCTCTGTTCATCAATTTGCACTGGCTACCAATAGCTGCTCGCATAAAATTCAAGGCATTGATGTTTGTCTACGAAACTACCACTGGCTCTGCACACCTTTACCTAAAATCACTACTTCAGAATTGTGTGCCCTCTAGAAGCTTGCATTATGCATTATAGTGCCATCCCAGAGAGGCACAAAATCACTTTCACTGACTTTACCATTAACTGTTCCCTCCTGGTGAAATGACCTGCCCATCTCATTCAGAGCAGCTGAGTCCTTAGCCATCTTCAAGAAACTGCTACAAACACATCTCTTCCATCTTCATTTGACCCTCTTAACTCTAGCACACTCTATTGTAATTCTAAGGGGAAAAAAACATTTGACCCTCTAACACTTGCACTCTCTGTTCTATTTCTATTCTTACTACTTGTCTTCTTTAAAAAAAATAAAATAAAAAAAGAGAGATCTGACAGTAGCACTCTCTATTCTTTTTCTATTCTTACTACTTGTTTTCTTTATAAAAAAGAGCCTCTAACACTAACATTCTCTATTCTTTTTCTACTCGATCTTCTTGTTTTCTTTTTATTTATTATACAAATATGACCCTCTAGCACTAGCATTTTCTATTCTTTTTCTATTCTTTTGACTTGTTTTATTTTAATTTTAAAAAGGACCCTCTAACCTTAGCATTCCCTATTCTTTTCTATTCTATCTACTTGTTTTTCTTTTTATTTATTATAAAAAAAAATGTGCGCTGTGTACTGTTCTTGCTTTGCATTCTGACACTGAAACTGAGCTTGCGTAGGTAAAATTGTCTGTGTAATTGCGTATAGCTTTGTGCCTTAAAAACATTGGCCTTGCTATTTTGTCTTAGGACACAAGATGTGATGCATATTTTCCAAAACCCTTCCTACCTAGCTTGTACTATTCTAAACATGTCTGAAACTTTGTATTACGAGCACTAATTGTACGAGCACTAATCTCTTTATCAATCGCTTGGTATATTCCTAATTTGTAAGTAGCTTTGGATGAATGAATCTGTTAAATTAATAAATGTAAATGTACACATAGGTCAACAATGAAAAAAACAGTAGCAAGTCTTATGTGAATGGCCCTTCATCATGCAAATATTTTAGCCAAATACTGCACTCTGAAAGATTATATAGCTTAATGCAATGTTCTCTGATAATGTGTGATGAGCAGATGTCAAAACCTCAGCAGGATTTTCCTACTCCATAATGCCCAGGAAGTGGCACATTAGCCCACTCTACATTTGGCTCCATGGCTTGGTTTTTGACATTTTGCATTTGCTTTTAAAATGCATAGTATAGAGTATAGACCTATGTGTTGTGGTTTTCATGCCTAAATGAAATCCCTCAAATTGCCCTATGGCAAAGATATTGCACATGAAAACACAGTCTGCGAATCCATTCTGAGAGAGTAACATAGAGAGAGAAGTGGTTTCTTGCAAATTCAGGATGCACTATGCCTTCAAATGATACTATCTGTATAATACAGTAGAAAAGTGGCTTCTGTATCAAATCTTTGTGAGTAAATCTTTTGAAACGTCAAGAACATGTATCTATCCATCTATCTATCTATCTATCTATCTATCTATCTATACTGTAATACAGCAATAAAACAATAATACATAAGAATATTACTATGACAGTCTAAAAAAAAACAACCTAAAACTAGGAATGATTTATATACTGTATACTGTATATATATATATATATATATATATA